AGAAATTGGTACAGCAAATGGATTAAAATGTCATGTTTATATAAAAGTAAACCTGTATAGTTGTGTGTGTATACATAACAATAACAATTAGTCAGGAGGTAATGCATTTGAGAGGGGAATGATAAGTGCACAGTAAAAGTATCAGACACAGTGATATGGAAGTGAGGTCAATGAACAAGTCTTGTATTAATTCTTCATATGTTTAACTAAAAAGAAAGAATATAGCAAAGGGACCTAGAAAGAACAGTCAATGACAAAGTGTAGAGTGATTTAGGAGAGCTGGGGTGACAATGATAAACTTTCATATGCATGTAAAAAAATGCTATGTTTTTTTAAGTGTTTAAGCCAAAAGGAAGAAAAGACTCAACAAAACAGTTCATGTATACAAATGGAATATTAGGAATATAAAGAGAAGGAAATAACTAGATTAATAAAAGTTTCAGGACTTGCAAATATTAGAACCGAAAAGTAATAAGTAGATTTCACTTCACGGAAGATTTTCTGGATATTGAATTCAGGGCAAATACTGGTGAAATGAGTAGTAGGTGGTTCTATGGCAAGAAACATTAACTATGTCTAGTTGGAAAGAACAATATGTGTGACTTCCAAAGAAATAGTAAATATACACATAACATAAAGATTTAAAAATTTAAATATATGGACAACAAGCATGCTAATATAAGGGAACATAAACAATGTAATTGAGTTTAATATACTGCCGATTATTAATTTAAAAGAAAGGGAAAAGCACAAGTTTTATAATACCACCAGGAAGCTGTTTTGGCTGTATCTTCAGGGAAACCTCCTCAGAAGCAGTTCCTGTGTGACTGAGTCTGAGAATACATTGAACAGGTTTGTGAGACACTTCATTGGGATCCTGAGATAAAAGAGAAAACATTTAGGATTAAATACTTAGAAAGTGTAAATCAGGTCTGGATTACCTCACTTAGGATAGGTTCTAATTACATTATAAGCAGTACTCATCTGGTAACTCTTGGTTTTCATAAACCACTTGCTTCCTATTTACAGCATGGTTTTTCCCAAAGGGTCCAGTTTGGGGGATCCCTGGGAATATTCTACATTATTGCTATAATATGGGCACTTTCTCCATGTACTCTAACAGACAAGGCAATATCCAACACCACCTTTCTGCCACCTTTCTCCAATTCACTCACTATGTAAGATGTCAACACGAAATCCCATCCTCATATCCCTTCCTTGCTACAATGCACAGCAGACATCTGAGATCTCACTTCTGCAATCTCATTACCAGTAGTAGCATCCAGGCTGCCTTTCAGCTTTACACTGAAATTTATGTCTCAGATGGCCCAGCCACAGAGATGAATCCATGCATCCAACGAAACCTCATGCCTGACACAGCATACTGAAGACAGAAAGAACAATATAATCTAAAGTCTCACATAGATAAAATTGCCAGTATGGGCTTTAGCTTACAAGCCATTGTATTGTTATTACAGCATTGTACATTCCATGATTTACCAACTATCTCCAAATAATTGTACATTTAAAACATCATGGAAATGTTTACTATGCAATGATTGCATCATTGCACTCAAAAATCCTAGCTTCAAAATATTTGGTGGCATGGAATAATCCTTCCATACACTGTGAAGAATGTTGCTCTCATTGTTATTAAAATGCTGGTTGGCAGATATCTGGGAAGGATTTGGGGAAATGTTAGTACTGGCGTGAAGAGTGGAGTCAGAGAGATACCATGAGACACCGATCTACAATTTCGAGGGTTAATACATGAATTAAAGGAGCCTCAAGACAGCACACAGATTAATAGAATTCAATTAATTTAAATTTTGGAAGCTAGCTAAATGCACGAAAAACCCATTAGCCAAATATTTCCAATTAATTTTAAGTTAGTTTCAGTTAATTGGAAATTGATATTAGGGACCAAAATGTCTGCTTAAAATATGATGTGTGCCCCATAGCATGAAAAACATCATTGATTTCCAAAATCCAGCTGTAATATTGGTTCATGACCCCACTAGCATAGATAAAACAAACAACCTTTATTTGGATAGAAATGCAAACTATGCCTATCACTCCTGCTTAGTATGTTCAAAAGAGCAGACCTATTTATAATCCCAACAAGATAATCTCTGGGAAACCAATAAGGCTATTGTTTATAATTACATGACATAGACGACTTAATTACTGCAGGCTGAGCACTATTAAGCAAAAGCTGCAGCCGAATGTCTTTCCTGGCTTGAATGGCATTTCTGTCCTGTCAAAGGCATAGATAGGGCCACCATTCCCCCATTTTTCCCAGGCTATACACTCAAGGCCCTCTCTGAGTCCTTGTTGACTTTGAGCATATTGGCATAAAATAGGTGGGAGGGATAGGCTCTGTAATCAGGCAACACTCTTCTCACCCTGCTTGCTGTTCTATGTACAGGAAAACAGTAAGCAATCTAATATAGGATTATCTTTCAAATCTGTCCCAGTGAAATTCCCCATACCATCAGTTCTATAACTTAAACCTCCTGCACAGCAAAGAAATTTAACAATGTCAAAGATAACATTTGGAATCACCTGCTCACTACAACTCAGAATTAATAGACAGGGATGTTCAATCTGGCAAAAGTGTGCATTAAGTGACTATCACATTTTTTGGTATGGTACCATAAAAAATACAGTCTGTATTTTTCCTAGACACAATTGCTGGTTATGTGAACTTCATACCTGTCTTGGAATGATTTTAGACACAGATAACCAAACTTGCTTTTACAATTCTACCAGAAAAGTCAAGGACATGCTGCCATCTACATTCAATACATAGATGTTTTGCTTAATACTCCACACATTCTTGTTATGAATTTCCTACTACTTTCCAAATTCACTATTAATTTTCACTAGAAAATCATGAAGCTAAGTATTCAAGGTTATAACAACTAGTAGGTGTATAGAAATAAGTGTATTTTCCTCCAAGAGAGGCCTAAATGCCTGGGCGAGTGAATTATATAAATGAAAGAAAAACTTCCCTACTTCCAAAGTTAAACAGGATAAGAAGATCTATGGAATGAACTGCAGATATTTAACAGCAAAGTCTTTCACCCAAATAAAAATATATTATCAATTCTTGAGACCTGTGAGGTGTATAGAATGGGCCCGTAGCAGGCTCAGAGGGTGGTGTCTACAGTGAAAAAGTAGTGTGATGAACTGTACATTAGGAAAACTACAGACTACACATTTAGAATTATCTGCTCACTACAAATCAGAGTTAATAATAGAGATGGTCAATTTGGCAATGGTGTGCATTAAAGGACTATCATGTTTATTTATGATACCATAATGAATAGTGTCTGTATTTTTCCTAGAGACAATCTGGTTCTTTATATCTACCAGAAAATTTGAGGACATGTTTCACTCCATATTCATACATATATTTTTTGATTAATATTCCACTCATTCTTGATATGAATCTCCTACTACTATGACATTCACTATTATATTTCACTACACAATCATGAAGTTAAGGATTCAAGGTTATAACAAGTAGTACTTGTATAGAAAGTAAGTAGATTTTCCTCAAGGAGAGGTTAAATGCCTGGGAGAGTGAATTATATAACTGAAAGAAAAGAGTCCCAAAGTTAATCAGGATATGAATATCTATGGCATGACATGCAGATATTTAGCAGCAAACTCTGCCATGAAATAAAAATAAATTTTCAATTCTGGAGACACATGAGGTATTTAAAATGGGCCAATAGCAGGCTGACAGGATGGTGTCTACAGTGAAAAAGTAGTGTCATGAACTGTACAGTAGACAGACACTATAGATTACACATCCCTCGTAATAATAAAACAAGAACCTAAAAGAAGAATTACCCCAGGAGCTAAGAATACAGAATCTGTCTTAAGAGTCCTAAAACTTGACAACTTCCAGTTTTTCCAGAGTGCCTAAAGGTAGTGGAACCTCAGTCTAATTAGACACTCTGTTGCTTCAAGGAGCTGTTCTGAAAATGCTTCCTTTATACCATTTCAGGTTACATTTTTACTTAAGCCAGGTAGCTGTGTTGTCTCTCTACATAAAGTTTGTGTACTAAAAAAATATACCAGTGGGTAAGGAAATAGTCTAGGAGAGTATTTGCTGGCAACCCTTTGGGTGACATACCACCCTTACACAGCATGACCTAAGACAATAAAAAACACAAATATTAACGTTGTAATTCAGTGCAGTAGCACAATTACAGTTGTGAAGCACCAATACAAACAAAGTTATAGGGTCACAACAACATAAGAAACTATTAATGGTTTACCGTATTCCCAAAGTTGAGAACAACTGACACAGGGCATACAATAACCACAGAATTATTTGTAATAAATATGATTGAAAATGATTCATGACTTAAAAAACAACTAATAGTAATTTAACAGCATTAACTTGCATGAGTTGATCTCCCTGAAATGACTGGTAGAGACAATTGCTGAGAGAACATGCTAGATAATAAATGAAGATTGCAAGTCTAAATACTCAGTCTTAAATAGAAACATGAAAGTAATATCACAAGAACAAAGCAGCTTATATGTAAAAATATATATGTAGGTAAATGTATGCAATATCAATTAGTGAAAAGGTAGGTCATGTATTTGAAAGAATATGAATTGGTATTTGGAAGTGTTTGGTGAAAAGGAAAGGGAAAATGTAATAAAATAATCTAAAACATGAAAAATATAAAAGAGATAGGTTTTTTGATAGAAATGTTCTTTCCATGGGAGTATGGACCAGTATCTTCCCTAATACAATCTCCAATAATACAGGCTGTACAGAAGGAGGAGTAAACAAATTTTTTCTCAAGCAGTGAGAATACAATTGTAGGTGATGGAATTCTGAGGTAGGAGGATTGAATAATGAGGATGCAAATGTTACAGCTCTCTGTTCTCTGAGTGAGGGCCATTGGGTACCAGCAGGAGAGTATCAGCACAAGCCCCCATACCTTAACATCACGTTATCTCTATTTGATGACTGGAAGAAAATGAAAAATTAGATTTCTACATTGAAATATCACTGCATATACAAGGTTCTATTAAAGGCTGAGTTCACCATTAGATGACAACACAAAAAGAACTCAATGGCTTTTTTAGTTATTCTCTGTCTCACAGTGCTTCATTTTGGCTTCATATTTAACTTTATAGTTACCTAATTTATATATCATAGTTTCTGATTTTGTGTTGTGAGAAAACTATAAGTATGAATTTGTGTGTATCACATAAATGAGATTCTTGTGCGGTTTTCGGCTATTTTTCTTCTGGTTGTGTATTTGTTTCTTTTATCATATTTGTGATGGGGAACATACTGTGTATGTTTATCTTGTTGATTATTGAATAAAATACTGGTTGGCCAATGAAACAGCAAGTTAGGACTAGGAGTCAAAGAGGATTCTGGGAAATGTAGTAGAGAAGTGATGTTCCAGGAAGGAAGTGACATGGCAGGAGACTCATATCTAAGCGAGGAAACAGGAAATGGCTTTTTTCCCCTCTGCTCCTGCTCCAGGGGCACAATGTGATCCACCGGCAGGAGGGATGCCATTAAGACATCCGATAAGATAAGACCTATAAAATATATAGGTTTATGATAGTTAAGACTGAGCTATCAGATGAGGAATCCTAGTCATTGGCCCAGCAGCATTGAACCTAATACAAGTTTCTGTGTATTCATTTGGGCCTAACTCGGGCAGGCGGCTGGCGTAAAGTGCATATGTGCCGGTGGAGCTCAGGCAGCTTTGGCAGAAAGATATATCCGAGCATATATGGGTTTGTTTATTATGGATTTTTATTGTAATTATTGTTGTTGTTAGTAGCTATAATAGTAATAAAAGTAGTAGTAGCTCCTCTCTGGGTGAGGGTATGGATAGGCACATGCAGTGTTGATAAGGGAGGAAACTCATGTTCATGGAGGTGACAGATAGAGGATAAACTCTACTATTGTTTCTCAGGTGCCTTTATTTC